TTTTTTAGCAGGTGAGAAAAAATTTTGTTCTAGTTTCCATTCAAGGGTTTGCTGTTGTAACTGAGAGTTTGCATGTGTGAAAAAAGTTTCTTTGTTTTTTGAAATAGATGGCTTTGAAATTTAGTCTTCTATAACACATAAAATAAATGTATACAGCCATCACCATTTGATGTAAAATATTTCTTTAATATTTTTTGATAAAATAGCCATAGTACCATGACTTATTCATGATTAAGATTTTTATCTGATTAAAGTTTTGAACTGAAACACCATATAGTAAAAGTAATGTTATGAAGGTTTGCTACTTAGTGATTATGTTCTGAATAAAAATTGTTAGAATAGTTTTTAAGAGAAATTTAATTACTTTTAATTTTCATACATATTTTTACTTGCAACTTATTTACTGATGCTAATCAAACATTATGTTTTAAAGATCTAAACACTTCTCGATTGTAAGAAATTCAATTTGTTTCAAGATATGATTTTACTTGTATCATTTTAATCATGGTAATTAGTTTGTATTGTTATTTACTTTTTAACTAAAACATATGTTTTAAAATATGTAAATATATGTTCAACAGTTTAACCCTTTCTGGACTGAATATCAAATTTCAAAATTTAAGTAAAGATCATAATTTTATCTCTATTACAATATTGTTTAACTTAAAATGTTTCAAAATTAGTATTTTATTGTGTATGTAAAAGTTATTAATTGTTATTTTGTAATAAGAATTTAAAAAGTGTTCTAACTTTCATTTCTACACAATACATTGAATGACTTGTTTTTTAGAATTACTTATGTTGAGAAACATAAATTCCTTGAAAATATGATAAATTATAGTTTATTTTATTATAATAAAATATAAAACATTCTCCTTCTGTGTTGGTGGTTTTATTACTGCAACCCTTTTATGATGTCAGCATATGGTCTGAACAGTTACTAATGAAGTACAGCTTTAAAAGTGACTACAGGCAACATTTAAATATGATTGCATATCACATATAATAAACAATCTGTGTCAAAATAGAATCAGTAAAGTGGCTTGGGCAATGATTTATGGTTTCTGGAGAAAATGACTTGCCATTGTTCCTGAAGGTACGAACAAAGGAACTTAATTGAAGTTTAGAAGTTTTGGAAAAAAAATTACAGATCTGGGAATTGTTTCTATAGTTCCTTTGTTTTTTGTTTTTTTTTACATTCTTTTTATACCTGAAAATGTATTCATTTTATGTAGGTTTAGCGAGTGTGACTGGTGAAATAATATATTAGATGTAAATTAATCTTAGCAAAGAATATTCTGAACAACAATAAAAAAATGTCATATCTTAGATGAAAGGAAGTATTTTTAATGTTTTTTAAAACAGTGTGTCACAACATAATTTTGGGATTTCACAATCTAAAAAATGACACTAATGCTTCAGAATATTATAGCAATTTTGTAAAGCTTAAAATAGGTACTATTCAGTAACTTTATAGTAAGTTTCATGCCGTTTAGTTTAGTACTTCCACTGTGAGAAGAAAGAAAATTGGGGCATGTTAGTGACACCCCTCATGTCCAGGAAAGGTTATCCTTTTGTCTACTGTTTAACTTTTTAAAAAATGAATGTGGTATAATTAGGCAAATTGTAATAGTTATTGCATTGTATTTATATTAATATACTTTAAATATCATTAGTCATGGCTGTAATGTATATATTGCTGTCTTTTAACACAATTTGACTTGGGTTAATATTTGGGTATCGTTGGACAAATGCATCTTAGACATATCTTCCAGTTTGATAAAAAAAAAACAACAACAATACTTTGTTTTCACAGATCCAGAGTACATTATTAAAAGAACACAAAAGGCTATAAATAACGTAATAGAATCTTAGGCTTATTTGGATTTTTCAATAATCAATTTAATTTTTCTGCTTGGACAACAGTGGGATGCCTGAATGAGAAGTCATTATTTGGCTACTCTTCTTGATGGTCTTCTCAGATCAGAAACAAATTAAAACATATTATGATGGTAAAATTCCGGGTGGTGTTATAACTGTGACAGTGAATCCTGCTGTTTGTTTAACATTATAAAAGATAAGCAGTGGGTGCTGCTAACTGGTCACCCTTCCTCTGGTCAGCAGGTTTATATTAGAAATGGCTTTGCTTGAATCTTAGAAGTTTCTAACATGGCCACTTACCCATGTATCACATAGGTAGAGTTCAACTTGAAAACAGAAAAAAAAAATGTATTTTCAAGTTGAAAATATATTTTATTTTACAGTATATGAATGATATAATCAGTGTTAAAAGGTTTCAATACCAACTAATTTAGAATTTATTCTTTTACTTTTAAACCACTTTATGCTTTTGGTAACACATTATTTCTTCTTGATTTTATTTTTCTGACTCTCACCTATCCAGAAGAAACTGTAAGTCCACATGGAGTCAGTTCAAACCGACCATCTGGTGCCTTTTCTGATACCGATATGCTGGAATCTGTTCCACCAGAAATAAGGTGGGCATCCTATTGAACACTGCCTAAGTAGTGCTTTAACAAATTAAATAATTTTCAATATAAGTAAATGTGATATTTATACCAAAAAATGTTTGAAGCAGTATTGTCACATTTACATTGTAAATTATCCAGATTTTAAGAGTACTTGAACAGCAATGGAAATTGAATGGCCACATTATAAAGTGAATTAGAAATGGGTTGCATATACAAAATATATTACGTTTTCTACTGAATTTATCAGGGAAAAGATGATACGTCTCCAACATGAGAATAAGATGCTAAAGTTAAAGCAGAATGGGTCCGATGAGGAACAAACGGCTTTATTGAAGACCTTGTTGGATGATGCGAAAGCTCGTCAGAATGAGTTAGAAACTGAAAATAGGTCAGTCACTATAGTATCTCTGTTCTCTTGTCTTTTCTGTGCTGTTTTCCTTGTTTTAATGCTTTTCTTTACTTGGATTAAATACTGTGTCTTAGTCATACAGTTTAAGTCACTGTGATGTTTTTGAGTTATTTATTTTTGCTGAGCTTTGAAGTACTAAAACATCTGGCCATAAGGTATAAACTAATGTGTTAGTTCATAAGGGCTATAATAGACCTGGATCAATGACTAGTTTACTAAGAAACTTTCTTCAACATGGCCAAGTTGGACATTAGAAAATGTTGCCTAATTGAACTTCACGTGTTTTGCTCTCATATTAAAACTTGTGCTAATTTAAGTGGAAACTGAATAATCCCAAACATGCTTTATACAGTGTAAAATTAAAGCTTGGTATACACAAACATACATATATATATATATATATATACTTTACTACCAAGCCTAGTATTCTATTATGGCTTTTATTAAAATTCAGTGTAGGAAGTCTAGTACTCCAGCAAAACTTTTTGAAGACATGTAATACACAATTTCATGCTCAATATGGCAATAGTCACATGGATTTTTAATTTCATTGAACTGAGTGTGGCTTAGCAGTTAGTGTGTCAGAATATGAATGAGAAGATCCATGATTTGAATCCTGTTGCCACAAAATCCTCTTCAATTTGGGGGTGTTTGTGCATTATAAGAGAAACAGCCAAATCCCACTATTTGATCAGAGTATCCCACGAGTTGTTGGTGGGTAGTGTTGACTGGCTGCTTTCCCTCTAATCTATCAATTCAAAATTAGAGGTGGCTAGCATAGGTATCCCTTGTGTATCTTTGTGCAAATATCTCAAATAAACAAATAAACTATAATTTCAGTGAAAGAAATTTGTAACTGAAATAAGCAAAAATGTACTGGATAAAATATTTTTATTTCCCTCTCAAATTTTAAGACCTCATGAACAAGTACTACAACCTCTTCTTAAGCCATTTGTTAGTCAGCTATGTTTGTAATTGTCGGTAGAATTTTTGTACATGTGTAGATTAGCCAATCAGAGAATACTGGAACTAGAAGGTCAACGTCTAATTCGGTAGAATTTTTATACATGTGTAGATTAGCCAATCAGAGAATACTGGAACTAGAAGGTCAACTTCAAGATCTACAAGAAAATCATTCTCAAGTAAGCAGCCAAGAAGGAAAAGAACTTCGCTGGAAACTAAACATGATGGGAAAGAAACAGAAGGAGATAGAAGCCGAACTTCAGAAAGGAAAAGTTTCTGAGGAAGCCTTGCAGAGCCAACTGGAAGCATCTGGTATTATATATTCTTTGTGTATCTGTGGAATTCTGTCTGATGCGAACAATTTCACAAATAGTTGTTAGAAGAAAATATTCATGTATATCAATTTAAAATCTTGTGTTTCATTATTGCAAAAATATTTTTTACTAAGTTACCATAATCATTCTTAATGTGTTAAACTTTTTTTTTTCTTTTGAAAGATAAATATATTGTATAGTTCGATGACGAGGAACCCAGTTTGAGACTAATAATGGTTGGAGACGGCTTGAATGAGTAATGAAGAAAAACTTTAATATAAGTTTAACATGATAGCAAAGGTACAACATTTCAACAAGGTACCTGATGATGACAAAACCGTGTCGAAACATTGTACATTTGCTGTTATGTTAAACT